ATTTTAGATTCCGTGTCACAGAAAAGTGATATTCAGAAAGGTCTTAATGATAAAATTGTAGAAGCTTGCTCGGATGAATACGTGGTGGAAGAAATTCAGCAAACAGATCAGTACATGTTCGTTTAGATTAAAAAATCCGTCAAATTAAAAACTCAGTCAATCCTCACAATCAACAAGTCATAATTTACCCGTCAATACTACCGTTTTTCAAGCTAGTCATGTTACTCCCTCTGATACACCCATACATATCATGATTTCACCTACAGGCAATAGTGTACCCGCAAGCGACTCCTCTCAATAGAACTCGCACGCCAATTGATTCACGTCGACACCTCTTGTACAATAAAATGCAGCATAGTTTTATACTAGTAACCCTGCTATATCAGAAAAAACCGTTTAACCCATTGGTTACAAGAAACCTTTACATTCTCATAACCTTTACAGTTTTGGAGAATCATCAAGAATATAGACCTTCTAGAGAGGCTAGTTTAAACATACTAGTAGTTATCTTTAGTGGATTTGGAAACAAGTTATTGTAACTTATATTAATCATTTCCCTCTCTACTTTGCTGGTGCGAGTGCTACCTTATCGATGCGGTACGAGGTATTCAGAAGTTCGGGAACCCTGTATTTCCTCATCGTTGAAATCGTGGGAATTGGTAAACACGCGGAACCGACCCTGTTCATGTCTGCATACAAGTTACAGTACACCTTATTTTCTTTCATATTTCTTATGACTTGCGGCCACAGGTCTTAAGTCGATCTCTGTTTGGTGGTGTTTTTGTTGGTGAACGATATCATCTAAAGTACCAATCGCGCATGTGCGCGTAGATTTGGCTTTAAAGTATTTGATCATCTTTCCATCATGGTGTGGTCCCAGTGGTCGAGAAAACTCGGCTTTCTTCCATTCTGGCGGGATCAACGTCGTGTTTTCGGCATAGCACTTTGACCTCTTTGTTGTGGAATTCGGTAACCTTTTCCGTCCATAGTTTTATGAAAATGCTTGACTTAAAAACGGTATAAAAAGCAACCTTGATCGTCACACCTTCTTGGTCTTGGGCAGAACTAAGCAGTCGTATTTGGCAAGGAAAACATTGATGATGCTAAGAATAAACGTGAATTCTTTGTTCTGTTGAGATAGAACTGTAATCCAAGTTTCGCCTAAACGAACAGCGCTCAGGCATCGTTTCTCGAATTTACGTCGAAATGTTTTATCCGTCCAACGAACTTTTCTATTGAGTCGCCCAGACCGATTGAACTTTGGTGAATATGAGGTGTCAAACGGTGTCGCGTTCCATCTTCTTTCTCATTGTTGGATTTTATATAGTGCAAAGTTAACAATGCATGTTCCTGTTACTCACATAGTTGCGAGTTGTTGTATTCCTATGTTGAGCATCGACAGCTCATTTACATGGCTTGGTTCCACGTGGGTGACAAGGTTCGAATCACAAAGAATTTAGGTACATTTGATAAGGAATACACACCTTCCGTTGGACCAAAGAAGTGTACAAAAAGCAGAGATCATGACGATACACAACTTGAGCGACTCATGGACCAAGGTGTTTGGGGTTCTTACTGTATGTAATCGTTTTTTTCAGCTTAGTACCAGGTCCCGTGAAGTTGTGCAACAAACGATCGGGGCGGGTTTTTTTAGTTTGTTCATGAAACATCCACTGGTTGTACTCATAAAGTGGAATATCCTCGATCCACCCCTCCGTCGTCGCCCCTTGCTAGTCGTAAATTGGAAGCGGCTGTTTGTCTTTGTATTCTACTTACACTTCAGACTGCCGTAAGCCGTTATACGCCGACGCTGCTCAAAAATGTACTCATCCGGTCAGGTGTTTATGTTACGATATTTTGGGAAATCTCTTCATCAACCCATCTATCTACTCCTGCAAAACGCACTGGGGAAGAGGTTCTTACAAATGACATAAGCGAGCTGATATCCGATATAGGTAAATGTCCCACATCACTCACCAATGCCATTGTTCGTCTTCGAACAGACCATCGGGAATTGACACAAACAGTAAGATCTTGGTGGTTTTTGATGAATTGGTGCTAAGTAAGCAAAATAGTGCGAAGACTTTTACGTCCGAGTAGGACTCAACAACGCTGATTGATTCTATCTCTGTCAAAACTGCTTTAAACTCTCGCGCAAGACGATCCAACTTCAAGATCTCTTTCAACAATACAACCAGAGTTTCCAGACACATTCACCGTTCGGCCCTGGCCTTCAAGGTGGTCAAATCTGGTCTGAGCCTTACGGCTTTGTCACCATCAAACGCTAATTTTTTCTACGGTATTAAACACTGGATGATGTTTTCTAAAACGCTTTCAAACGCTTAAGGGAGTTTTTGCAAACGCTTTACATAAAATGACGTTTGTTATACTAATTATTGCCTATTCCAAGCAGCATGAAACACTTCACATGAAGTTCCAGGATGAAAAGCATACCATCAAATCTAGTAACTTACAATAACTACTTGACAAACAAGGTTTAGTCGTGATCTTAACGAGTCTTTAAACCAGTCTTAAAAGGACAAGAGAAAAAAAACTGCTTCTTAGTCAACCAAGTCGAATGTAGACCTCCTTGTAGTCTTACCACTATCTGCACTGCCTCCTCCATCTCCTAATTTGCAGATACATTACCTATCGATGCAGATAAACTTGCTTCCCTCGGACATCGTACACAGCAGTACCCAAATCTCAGCATTGGAGTTTGCGAAACATCCACCTAACCGTCAACGTTCAACGCTACCCAGTCATTTACTTCAATGATGAGGCTGTTTCTCCTCTACAAGACCTATATAATCATACCCCGTAACACCCCTCATTATTTTTCTCTAGAAGCCATGGAATAGGCCACCCCCTGTTTTTAATAAAATTTTTTCAATTTTTGAGGTCCAGTTTCAGATTTTTGAACATAGCGCCCTTCGATACCTTGCGCAAAAGATGCGCCTGTTTCTCCTCTACAAGACCTATATAGTCATACCCCGTGACACCCCTCATTATTTTTCTCTAGAAGTTATGGAATAGCCCAATCCCCCTGTTTTTAACAATTTTTTTTCAAATTTTGAGCTCCAGTTTCAGATTTTTGAACATAGCGCCCTTCGATACCTTGCGGAAAAGATGCGCCTGTTTCTCAACTACAAGACCTATATAGTCATACCCGTGACACCCCTCATTATTTTTCTCTAGAAGCCATGGAATAGACCAACCCCCATGTTTTTAACAATTTTTTTTCTAATTTTGAGCTTTAGTTTCAGATTTTTGAACATAGCGCCCTTCGATACCTTGCGCAAAAGATGCGCATGTTTCTGCTCTACAAGATCTATATAGTCATACCCCGTGACACCCCTCATTATTTTTCTCTAGAAGCCATGGAACAGGCCGACCCCCCTTTTTTTACTTTTTTTCAAATTTTGAGCTCTAGTTTCAGATTTTTGATCATAGCGCCCTTCGATACCTTGCGCAAAAGATGCGCCTGTTTCTCCTCTACAAGACCTATATAGTCATACCCCGTGACACCCCTCATTATTTTTCTCTAGAAGCCATGGAATAGACCAACCCCTATGTTTTTAACATTTTTTTTTTTAATTTTGAGCTTTAGATTCAGATTTTTGAACATAGCGCCCTTCGATACCTTGCGCAAAAGATGCGCATGTTTCTGCTCCACAAGATCTATGTAGTCATACCCCGTGACACCCCTCATTATTTTTCTCTAGAAGCCATGGAACAGGCCAACCCCCCTTTTTTTACTTTTTTTCAAATTTTGAGCTCTAGTTTCAGATTTTTGAACATAGCGCCCTTCGATACCTTGCGCAAAAGATGCGCCTGTTTCTCCTCTACAAGACCTATATAGTCATACCCCGTGACACCCCTCATTATTTTTCTCTAGAAGCCATGGAATAGGCCAACACCCATTTCTGCAAATGTGTATCTTAGTTCAATTAAACAATGATATCAAAGGTGCTATATTTTACAGGGAAGGACTACTTTTACATGCGTTCTAAATTGAAGTGGGTGCATTGGTGGTCTTACACCTACAAAAAATCCGTTGACAGATGCAGATTTATTGTGGTACTGAATATTAGCCTAAAAAGAGATGTGACTAGTTTTATCAATGGATGGGATAAATACCATTTCATGATAGAGTTGAAATTGCAATATTTGGACGGAATTTCTGCCTTTTTAAATATTTTTCATTTAACGGCCGTTGCTGCCTTATTCATTTTTTCGGTTTTTAGATATATCGCCTTATTGTTCGCTGGCTTATTGTTCGCTAGTTATTGTTCGCTAGCTTCAGCCTGGTATCTCTGGAAAACTTCCGTCGTGGAGTTTTCACATTCTTAGAATTATATGTACAGATTAGTATTCAGTATGCTACTAGTACAATCTTTAAGTGAGGCATGCCAAACGTTTTACTGAATATGCATGCGTCATTAAATGAGGAAAAATAAATTAGAGTGTAACATAAAGACCTGAAGCAGGTAAATAATTCGATAAAAATTAACAAAAAAATAAACGCATATATAAACACAAAATATGTTTTACCCCACCTCATTTTTGCGCCTCTCCCAGGTCAGGAACCTCTAGCCTTTGTTAGTCTTGTGGTTTTAAGGTTTTTTTTCATGTCTTTGTTTCGGAGTTACATGTAAGTGTGGCATCCATTTCGTTGAACTAGTACGTATATATTATTGTTTAGGGGCCAGTTGAAGCCCGCTCCGGATACGGTATTTTCAGTTGCGTTGAAGATCCATTAGTTGCCTTGGGCTGTTATCTGCTCTTTAGTCGGGTTGTTGTCTCTTTGACACATTCCACATTTCCATTCTCTATTCAATAGAGAAGGTGGGATAGTCCATTGATTTCCAATATTCAAACTGCCTTGAATAACAAAGGAAAATGTTCGGCAAAGGTCTTTTGATCAGTATAAATAACATGGAAAATAGCTCCACTGGGGACGGTTTATTTTACACAAAGGTTAGGATACATATACTAACCTCTACTTGCTGAAAATGCATACGGCAAAACTGAGCTGTCACCAGGACCTGAAAATTAACTTTATCAACGAATATGGTAAGATGGTGTACAAGCATTTCCTCAATTTTCACTTCGTAAAGATAAAGATTCCATGGTGGATATAGAGAAAATAAGTCTAAGAACGGGAGATCATTCTGATGAATAACCAATATAATGTCAATGCATGGAGTAAAAACAGGTAAACATTGCGTTCGATTAATACAGGAGGTATTTTTCTTAAAATAAAATTATCTGATAATCAAAAACAAATTATCTTAAAACACCTACACCCCTTTCAAAATTGTCATTCATGTGTGCTCTTTCTAAGTTTAGCAACGTTTAAAAAAAATATCAAGAAACAAAGTATTACTGAGATAAGTGTTGTAACTGATTGAAATAGTTTTTTAATTTACAGCTAAATATCTATTTGTCTGGTGATACTTTTGTGTCGCTTGATTTGCTGTCTGATTGACATATCTCCTAGTGTCGCTAAGTAAACTCAATTTGCGACAGTAAATATACGTTTTACGAATGCCAAGCTTAAATTACAATACAGTTATCTCCTAATTCAAACTCATAAGTCGAAAATAAACTGAAAACGCCATGGCAAAAAAAGAAAACGACCAAAAGACAAACAACAGTATACAAAACACAACATAAAAAATAAAAACTGAGCAACACGAACCCCCCCCCCTCCCCAAAACGGGGTGTGATCTCATGTGCTCCTGAAGGGTAAGCAGATCCTGTGGTACCCGTCGTGTTGCTCATGAATGTACAAACCATGTAATAAGTCTAATTCGGTAGGTCACATTCGAGAAAAAAGGTGGACGGGATTGTGGTCATCTGTGAAACAGAAATTCCATGACGGTCTACCAACTCATGACGGCGTCCGTAAAATTTTTGAAGGGATGATTTCAACTTAAATGTTGCTTGTTTCTGAATCCTATTTGTGAATGTGAATATATATTGTAATTCCTATAATTCATAATAAAGTTTACACTAACTTAAATGTACCAGTAAGCATGCAATTCCAAACTTATTTCCAGTTGTCCTGCAAGAAACAACTTTTTGTTTAATGAGCATTTGTCAGTAGTAATGATAAAAGTTCTCTTTAATTAAGTTGTTGTTTCTTGGCTGCGCATGATGTTTCAACAATGTCAATAACGATGGAAAACTGCATAATTTCTACAATTGTCTTTGATTTTATAAAGACAACGGTGCATATTATGACGTACTTGTAACGGTCATTACATCAAAAATCGTTTGTTATTTATTCATATTCCTGGATTATTTGCATTTCCGAACTTTATGTGCAAATTTGAAATAGTTCTCAAAAACTTTATTTTCATGGACCAAAACCGGGCCTTTATTCTCCTTTCGAAACACTTATCAAAATATACAAAATTAGATCCATTTAATTTTAGATTGATGCTTTTAATTGAACAAAAATACATGTACTGAAGATGTGAACATATTTCTATTTAAATACCTCTACCTACCGAAATTTAAGAATATTCTCGTATATGAAGGTTGTTATCTTAATTTTTGAGCGACAGTGGATTTTTTTAAAGATATTGGTACGATGATTGCCGGTAGTTCCGTTCGTCAAGAAAGTCCATTTCAACGAAAAGTACAAACTAATCCGGACAACGAATTTAGCGGATTTGAGGGTATTTTTCATAAAAAAAACTATTGTTGATATAAATTTATATTGGTTACATGTTTTAAAACCTATGGTTTTGTCTAATTTGTTAATAAAATATTGTATTATACAACGCGACGATTTTTATCTATGTGGTTGTTTTTTCCCAGACTTTTGCAGCTGTAAACATAATCAATTAACATATTGAAAAAGATAAGAAAAGTCATAGTCTTGTCTGACTAGTTATCATAACTTTCTTAAAATCAAATTACCAAAAGTAACAACATCTCCCAGCAAATAAGCCTGGTACGACTTCCCTCCAAAGAAAACAGAAGTACTATTGTGGGTTGTACAGTACGTTTTGTTATCGCTATCAAATAATTTCATTGCTGTATTTGATGTGAATTGTAATACATGTCTTGTACTTTTCAATCCAGGATCAACTCCAGTTAGTGAAAGATCTCCTCCATCGGGGTTTCCCAGAAGAATATTATAGCCAAGCCCAATGAATCGTGACCCATCGGCTAAACAGAATACACATCTTAGCAGAATAAACAATGTAGTGAGACTGTGTTTCATGACTTTTATCTAAATAATGAAATTTAAAAATGAAAAGGTTAATGCGGGACATGCGTAAATCGAGAATTAATATGCGACTATAGTGACTCATCCTGCAAGTGGTTTTTACGGCAAACTGACCAGAGTTTTTTGCAATGTTCATTTATCTATTCTGTTTTATTGAAATATTTACACAAGGAGCATTTGCTCTGAGAGATAGAGCTTGTGTATATTCCAAGTTTCGTTTTCTTTCATTCCCCAAGATTAGTCCATGAAACAATTGATGTCTGTTCTTTTTTTAAAAAAAATTACCAATACATATTTACAATGTAGTAGTCAAAACAGAATCGAATTCACCAACAAGTTACCGTTTTGTCTTTATTTCACATGTTTCTTGATAACAAATTTTAATTATTTTGTATAAGAATTTTATAATAATAAATCTTTCAACATTTTCAAACTTTAACGTGTTGCCAATGCTGCAATGATTATTTACATTTTAGGATTTTTTTCTGAATTGAAACAAATCAAATATAAATACATACCATATTTTACTCTGTAATAAACCTGGCTGGAAATCAAAATGTTTTCCGCATGTTCAGCTGAAAAGAACTTATAAGAAGTAAAAATGTTTTATCTATTTCTTTCTTATCAAGGTAACAAGATATAACTAGCCAATCATGAGGAGGATATCACTTCCTTGTCTTAATGCCTACGCAGACCAGACATATTGAGGTTTATGCAATTAGTTTGAACTAGAGATAGGAAATAACAACCAAGACGCGTGTTAAGAATACCTCTTATCTTACCTTGCCGATTGCGATAGTGCGATCCATTACCTATCATTATACTTATCCGTTAACTTTTCATCGTTAACTCCATATAAAACTTCCAGACCAACTTAAACAGATTAAAATTAGCAGGAATAATAGTGTAGGTTATTATAAAAAAAAAAACGTTTATACTCATATGATTCGACCATACGCGTATGATCCGTATAATTAATACTTTTGCTGTTAATTGCATAAGGTATGACCCTTCAGGTTGCACTTTGTAAATACAGCTGTTTCTGAAACCACGCCTCTTGTTTATCTCAGAGATTTTGAAGAATTTAACTCAAATATGAAGTTTTATAAATATTTCATGAAGATTGAGAAAATCCTAGACCTAAACTATGATGATTCAGCATAAATTCACAGTTTACAGTATGTTTTGTTTACTTAAAGCCCTGAATTAAAAATAAATTCATAATATATGCCTATTTGTAATTTAAATTGTTTAGGAGTGCTTATATATACTCTTCGCAGTCATTGCAACTCATTGATCCTTCTTAAATATTTTTGGTGGGGTGTTTTTGTCCTGTCGATAACCCAAAAGTAAGTCGTAATACCTAAATGTGCTTTTTTGTGACTGCGGCATAAAAAGTACAAGCTAGAATTACAAAAAGACCTCAATAAAACTTACAATAGTGTGTTCTATCCTAAATATGTACCAAATATTCAACATTACTAGAAACAGGGAAAACATTTAGGAAATGTGAGGCCCCAGGGGCAAAAAAACAGAGAAAAATGCCTCCCCCTGGGTCATAAAACAGATAATTTCACTTCTAAATGCTATGATTTTATTATTTCAAAGGTCTTTTGTAAAGAAAACAATAACTGTGCTAGGAAGTTATGCAAAAATCAGATGTAAGCAGTCATTTCTATCAAACTTTTAGTGCATTTATGCACCAGACTGATATCTTCATAAATACAACTTTTGCAAATATGGCTTTGTTTAAACACTTCTAGTTCATATATTAACTAACTTATGTTAGATATATGGTTAGGGATGGTACTGTTGTAACATGAATTCTAAACTGACCATTTGATGCAGAAATTGTGAACCTTCATTGACAAATAGGCATATAGTTAGATATGGACTGGAGACACAGGCAGGATTGGATACTTTGTATAATCTTGAATGTTGGAATGATTAACTACTAAACATTACATTTAAAGTATTTTAAAATGCTTTCAATTTGTTATCAGAATAGTTTCAAACAGGTTTTAGACAGTTCATGTCAGAAAACATGCACATAGGGTAAGCTGGCAATAATTAAAGTCTTGTTTTCAAATTCTTTCAAAAATTGAAACAGGGGTAGGGGTATAAAATGTACTGTAAAAGGAAACTTAGAGTATATGCAGTGATTTCTTTAAGGCTATAATTCTGATAAATAAGTATTGTTGTGAGAAAAAGTGTTTTTAGAGAGTTTTCTATTTGAATAAATGTTTGTATAGGTTGCACTTTGTAAATACAGCTGTTTCTGAAACCACGCCTCTTTTGGGGAGATATATAATATTCATAGATATGTTAATTTGTTAACGTACTGGTTCCCATTTATGATCTCTGTGTCTCATCTCATAGAGACATCACTTGGGAATGTAACCAGTATAGAAAAACATGGTAGCGCCTAAATTTTAATTCTTAGGAGGTCCAAAAATGGAGGTAAGGGTAGTATAGAATTTTAGTATAAGTTTAAACTCTTAGAAGTTCAGGGCATATAAATGTTGAAAATATGCCGCACAGCCCTATATTTTGACCTTTGAATAAAATAGTAGTGCATATAAACTTTCCGTTCTAGGATATTATTTTTCACGAAACTTCATAGTAAAAGTGTCACAGTTTTAGCCGCAAAGGGAGTTCCTATGGGAAATTGCATTGTCTATATTTACAGAATTGCAACCTATATAGGGTTAAAAATTAGAACATACAGAATTTCACAAAATCTTGTTTATCTCAGAGATTTTGAAGAATTTAACTCAAATATGAAGTTTTATAAATATTTCATGAAGATTGAGAAAATCCTAGACCTAAACTATGATGATTCAGCATAAATTCACAGTTTACAGTATGTTTTGTTTACTTAAAGCCCTGAATTAAAAATAAATTCATAATATATGCCTATTTGTAATTTAAATTGTTTAGGAGTGCTTATATTTACTCTTCGCAGTCATTGCAACTCATTGATCCTTCTTAAATATTTTTGGTGGGGTGTTTTTGTCCTGTCGATAACCCAAAAGTAAGTCGTAACACCTAAATGTGCTTTTTTGTGACTGCGGCATAAAAAGTACAAGCTAGAATTACAAAAAGACCTCAATAAAACTTACAATAGTGTGTTCTATCCTAAATATGTACCAAATATTCCACATTACTAGAAACAGGGAAAACATTTAGGAAATGTGAGGCCCCAGGGGCAAAAAAACAGAGAAAAATGCCTCCCCCTGGGTCATAAAACAGATAATTTCACTTCTAAATGCTATGATTTTATTATTTCAAAGGTCTTTTGTAAAGAAAACAATAACTGTGCTAGGAAGTTATGCAAAAATCAGATGTAAGCAGTCATTTCTATCAAACTTTTAGTGGATTTATGCACCAGACTGATATCTTCATAAATACAACTTTTGCAAATATGGCTTTGTTTAAACACTTCTAGTTCATATATTAACTAACTTATGTTAGATATATGGTTAGGGATGGTACTGTTGTAACATGAATTCTAAACTGACCATTTGATGCAGAAATTGTGAACTTTCATTGACAAATAGGCATATAGTTAGATATGGACTGGAGACACAGGCAGGATTGGATACTTTGTATAATCTTGAATGTTGGAATGATTAACTACTAAACATTACATTTAAAGTATTTTAAAATGCTTTCAATTTGTTATCAGAATAGTTTCAAACAGGTTTTAGACAGTTCATGTCAGAAAACATGCACATAGGGTAAGCTGGCAATAATTAAAGTCTTGTTTTCAAATTCTTTCAAAAATTGAAACAGGGGTAGGGGTATAAAATGTACTGTAAAAGGAAACTTAGAGTATATGCAGTGATTTCTTTAAGGCTATAATTCTGATAAATAAGTATTGTTGTGAGAAAAAATGTTTTTAGAGAGTTTTCTATTTGAATAAATGTTTGTATATAGGGTTAAAAATTAGAACATACAGAATTTCACAAAATCTTGTTTATCTCAGAGATTTTGAAGAATTTAACTCAAATATGAAGTTTTATAAATATTTCATGAAGATTGAGAAAATCCTAGACCTAAACTATGATGATTCAGCATAAATTCACAGTTTACAGTATGTTTTGTTTACTTAAAGCCCTGAATTAAAAATAAATTCATAATATATGCCTATTTGTAATTTAAATTGTTTAGGAGTGCTTATATTTACTCTTCGCAGTCATTGCAACTCATTGATCCTTCTTAAATATTTTTGGTGGGGTGTTTTTGTCCTGTCGATAACCCAAAAGTAAGTCGTAACACCTAAATGTGCTTTTTTGTGACTGCGGCATAAAAAGTACAAGCTAGAATTACAAAAAGACCTCAATAAAACTTACAATAGTGTGTTCTATCCTAAATATGTACCAAATATTCCACATTACTAGAAACAGGGAAAACATTTAGGAAATGTGAGGCCCCAGGGGCAAAAAAACAGAGAAAAATGCCTCCCCCTGGGTCATAAAACAGATAATTTCACTTCTAAATGCTATGATTTTATTATTTCAAAGGTCTTTTGTAAAGAAAACAATAACTGTGCTAGGAAGTTATGCAAAAATCAGATGTAAGCAGTCATTTCTATCAAACTTTTAGTGCATTTATGCACCAGACTGATATCTTCATAAATACAACTTTTGCAAATATGGCTTTGTTTAAACACTTCTAGTTCATATATTAACTAACTTATGTTAGATATATGGTTAGGGATGGTACTGTTGTAACATGAATTCTAAACTGACCATTTGATGCAGAAATTGTGAACCTTCATTGACAAATAGGCATATAGTTAGATATGGACTGGAGACACAGGCAGGATTGGATACTTTGTATAATCTTGAATGTTGGAATGATTAACTACTAAACATTACATTTAAAGTATTTTAAAATGCTTTCAATTTGTTATCAGAATAGTTTCAAACAGGTTTTAGACAGTTCATGTCAGAAAACATGCACATAGGGTAAGCTGGCAATAATTAAAGTCTTGTTTTCAAATTCTTTCAAAAATTGAAACAGGGGTAGGGGTATAAAATGTACTGTAAAAGGAAACTTAGAGTATATGCAGTGATTTCTTTAAGGCTATAATTCTGATAAATAAGTATTGTTGTGAGAAAAAGTGTTTTTAGAGAGTTTTCTATTTGAATAAATGTTTGTATAGGTTGCACTTTGTAAATACAGCTGTTTCTGAAACCACGCCTCTTTTGGGGAGATATATAATATTCATAGATATGTTAATTTGTTAACGTACTGGTTCCCATTTATGATCTCTGTGTCTCATCTCATAGAGACATCACTTGGGAATGTAACCAGTATAGAAAAACATGGTAGCGCCTAAATTTTAATTCTTAGGAGGTCCAAAAATGGAGGTAAGGGTAGTATAGAATTTTAGTATAAGTTTAAACTCTTAGAAGTTCAGGGCATATAAATGTTGAAAATATGCCGCACAGCCC